TCTACCACATTCATGGTAATTCCTTGTAAGTGTCACCTAGCCGCAGCGCAAAAACATTAGTGAAAATGGTGTGTTAAGGAAGACAGAACAACTCGACTGGAGTTTGCTGGACTTGTGCGCTTGTGTGAACGCACTGAACGACACCAAAAGAAAATTTGCCGATTATGAGCGACAAAAGAACGCCATCAAATTTGCCTCTACGAAATTTGTGTAGAAATAAAAACAGTTCTGTCAAACCACTAAAATGACAGTTCATTGCAGTCAATATATATATTTTAGACATCAACTGCTAAACGTAAGCCATTGTATAAGCCAACAAGTAACCAAAGAATCAGCTGTTTCCTATGTGTGTGAAACAGCCGTGATCACCTGATCGAATCTGCGTTTTTTTGACACAGAGATGTAAATGAAAGGATGTATTATAGTTTAACAACTTGTTTGTGAACATGTATTTGAATAGATTATTATTATATTTTTGAAAACTTTCAAGAATATTTTTGAAACAAAAGATTTTTTTATATTTATTGCTTTTCCTCACCACCTCTGAGGTTGCAATATAGGCACGTTACCGATCTTTTTTGTGTGTTCGGTTCCCCAGGAAGCCTATATTCACCCATATAATATATACAGTTCTAAAACAATCTACTTTTCCAAACAATTCTAACTCGAAAATATCTATACATAAAATCAGGTACATGAATCACGTTCATAAATATTAATTACATTGACAATATAACAATAACAATATAAGTAGAAATATTCAACTTGATTTGAACAAAACCGAAAATAAATATATAAAAATCAGATACAATTCAATTATATTCATGAACAAATATAAGTGAAAACAATCTACTTGTATTAATTTTAGCAAAAACCAAAATAAATATAAAAAATGAGGTACGATTCAGGAACAATAACAATAATCAAAACAATCGACTAAGTAATAAATAATATAATATTTACAAAGCATTCTAAATCAATGTTACACAATAATATATTTGATAAAATAGGAAACATTTAATAATATTTCAATACAATAAATAATAATTTAAATAATACTATGTAAATTTAACCTTTAAGAATTAAAACAACCGAAAAATATTTGAATATGTAATAAAAACATTCTTAAAGTTATAAATTTTAAAACATAACACGGCAACACACTATAGCAGTTTATGTCATTTGGACGTTCTAGCAGAGAACGTATATCATAGAGAAGGTTCAATTGCGGATCAGCGTGTGAATTGTCAAAACCTAACAAGATTTTAATAGTGGACTTCACCACATCTGACTCGGAAGGAGAAATTTTAACAGTGGAGAGTGAACAGAGCTGAGCATTGAATAAAAATTATGCTCAGAGACTTGCGTTGATTTTACAGCCGCATGTTACTCTTTTGGCTTATATTTTTATACGTTTATATGCAATCATATTATTGATATGAATATCATTTTGCGAATTTTTATGAATGCATGCAAAACTGATAAGACTCTATCTAAATTATGTAATTTTAAAAATATTATATATAGTCAATTTGGGAATTTAATGATTTTATTTAGTTTTTACATAATAAACTTTCCTAATAGAAATTAAATTTATTACAATATATGTATATGTACATATGTACATCTTTTATCATATTAATCTTATATATGTATAATCATATGTATATCTGCACAAGCGCATTTGAATGTGCGGATTCAGAAATTGAAATCATAATTTTATCATATATCAATACAATATATGTGCGCGCATTGATTTATATGTACACGCATATATGTATGTAGACATAAAATTGCCGAACAAATAATGCATACACCAACCAACATACATACATATGTATATGCGTACACATGTAAATATGTCACCCGCAAAAACTACAAACATTGTTTTACAAAAACAACAATCGTCACAAGCCAATATGTCAGCCAAATAGGCGAAGCCCAAATTTATAGTACATTGCACAACAACAACATTTTCATTCATGAACGCAGGCGTACTTTTAACAAGCAACCTCGCTTCATTCATAAAAACAGATACCCTTACATCCCCCCGAGCATGCTTTTGCCTACAAGCGTCTTTTCACGACGATGGCAAAAGCTAAAAATCATAAATTGAACAAATTTCTGATATTCCCTCTAGAAGGGAAAAGTGACAACCCCGCAAATATGAGTATTAAAATATTTTAGAATAAAAGTGACAACATAGTATATTTGTCGATTTACAATTCAAGAAACTTTTTAAAGAAAATATTCAATATTCCTCTGATTTATGTATACAGTAAACCCCGGTTAAGTATCAATCCTCCAATCCCTCTTATCTGCCTGTGTCTTGCTGCATCTCAGGTTTTTTTTTTAATTTTTTAAGGAAAACGGTTATATTTTTTTATTAAATACATAGAATTTATTTTTTTGGTACCACTCCTTAAGTACCACAATCGCTTATGTTCTACAAAGCACAAAAAATCTGCAACTTTGGTTTTGGCACTTAACCGGGATTGCCTGTATTTGTCAAAAAATGTACGTAAGTGCGTATGTAAATATTTGAATTTTTTGTACACACATCTGCCCGTATCTATGCACATGACTTGTTGACTTTGTTTCCATTTACGCATGCCACGTTGTATATGAATAAGGGTTGATTTTGCACTTGCCACATGCGATGTATGTTTGTAAAAGTGTGTATGGTTCTGATTTCCAATGAAACAATGAGTGTACATATTTACATACATACGTTGCATGGGTACTTTCATATTTGTTTACATGCACACATAATTATACATATACTTACATATATATGTATAAGGATATTTGCGACCGCTTGGTCTTTTCTTATGGGGTTATGTCAAGCAAGAGGAGTACAAAATCAAACCCAGAAATCTGACTGAACTGAAGCAGTCCATTAAATAGATATTTGAGGCAATCCCGACTTGAACCCTCCAGCCCGCATTAATTTTCTAATTAGGTGTCCAATATGCATGGCTGAGCATGGAGGAATAATTAATTGTATAAAATAAAATTAAAATTTTCTATACAATACAAAAAAGATTGATAAAAAGAAACTTATTACGGTTAATTTTTGTAGCACGATTCGTGAGCCGCCCTGTATATGCAGAATATCTTAAAATTATATGCAAAGTCGTTTGTGCATTGTAAATATACGAATCTGTAAGCGTAAATTTCTTAACATTGAATTTAGCATTATTTTTCTCATTTAACATTCAAAATGCTCAATTCTGCTTATTGCGCTCCGCAGGGGTAAAATTCTGGTGAAATCCGCTTATAATTTGTTTGAGGTGAAATCCTCTTAAGTTGGCGAGTAACCCTCCGTCAAGAGGAACATTTTGACAATCGGCACACCATGAACCTTCTCTATGATATACTTCTCTGCCCGTACCAAGTGAGACATTTTTGCGTGTATATTAGTGAAAATCTTAGGATTGGTTACTTGTAGATTTATACAATGACGTAAGCAATGTGCAGCCTCCATTGGCAATATTACTAGATATTCAGTTTTTTAGCAAAGTTTAATTGCTTGTTAAGATGCTCCGTAAAGGTAGTTATTAAGGTTTAGTTAGTGACCGACATAAAACCGTGGACCGAATCAGCCGTTGCTGCTTATCTTATGAGAGCGCTCTTTACACTTACCACCGCTTCTATTGTCCGTGTACGTGGATATTCGCGAAAAATGGATTTTCTTATAGAGACGAATCAGATGATTGCACTCTTGCAACACAGGGTTACCAGTATACATGTTGTTGTTGTTGTAACGGTTATCTAACTCCCAATTGGGCGCTAAGTTTAAGTTTGGTTGTCATCGAGGTCTTCTAACGGGAGGCCCAGGAAACGAGATGTCGGGGTCGGACCAAAGGGAATTGGGTGTTAGATGAGTGGGGTTCGTTGGGCATGCAATGAGGTGGTTAGTGTCATGCGGAGACTCATTGCAAGCAGGGCATATGTTTGTAATGTCGGGGTCAATTCTGGATAAGTAGGAGTTTAACCTGCTACAATATCCTGAACGAAGTTGCGCGAGGGTCACTCTGGTTTCGTGGGCCAACTCGAGGTCTACGTCTGCTATGGGTGGTGGTTTGACTCTTAGTACGCCATTCACTGAGAGGGAGTCAATGAAGGTGTTAATGGCTCCACTGTGAATGGCGGTCACTGCTTGTCTACAGTTCGTTACGTCCAAAGTCTGGTCCGTTTACTGTCCAATGTCGTCGACGTAATAAAGGAAGGACCTCTTGATGTTCCCAGGAGGCGGTTCCACTTCAAGCAGACGATTGCATTAGTGGTTTCAACGAAAACATCCCAGCAGAAACTGTTTGGAGAGGAGATCGTTATGTTCCTTAACCGGAAACATACGAGCCTCACTATGTAGGTGTTCGAATGGGGACATCAAGAGGCATCCCGTGATGGTCGGGAGAGCAATGTTTGAACATGTCTGGAGATTCTTCGTCTGCGTTGCACTACATCCAAGCGAGGTGCAGCGAAGTTTAAGACCGGCCGACCGATTGCCTTGTAAGTTGCCAGCAACGTTCCTTTGTCTTTTTCCCAAGAGCTGCCGGCAAGCGATTTGAGGATTTTGTTGCTGCTTTGTACTTTGGCAGTTATTTGGGCCGTGTATGGCGTGAAGGAGCACAGGCTGTCAAATGTAACACCTAAATTTTTAGGGTTATTGACCGTCGGAATTTTAACGCCAGCGACTGTAAGGTTTAGATACAGTCTGTAGTCCGTCGTCCAGTTTGTGAATATGGTCGCTGTGGACTTAAGGGGGGGGAAGTGTTAGGCTCGTGCAGTTATCAGCGTAATTCCTCCCTCTGGTTCCCTTTCCTCCCTCTGGTGGTTGGGGGAGTTTCGGATGTAGAAGTTAAACAGTAGCGGGGAGTGGACACCACACCGGCCTTGTTGATGACACTCTGAACCTTCTCATCGGTGAAAGCATGTGTCGCACCGGTAGAGAGATTGCCGAACTTCAAGTGCTCTACCCATTTTGTCCGCTTATGTTAGTTTACCATTTGCCCAATCTCAAAATTGAGATCCCTTATTCGGAGATCACAGGGATCATTTTCTAAAACAGCTTCGGTGAGGAAATAACGGCGAACTTCCGCAATTCTTTCAGCCGGTATGAAGCGAGCAGTAGTAGCAGCGATCATCTTGCGGAATTGACAGCCGCCAACGATGACGTCCGTAGGAATTGGTAGAGCGGTGAAGGTGATCTCGGTAACTTCTGTGAAGCCGATCCAGTTAGATTTGTTAAAGTTAACAAAGTTGCGGTTGTCCACAAAAATAAAGTATGGAGGTTTCTCGATAAGGATAATTATGGGCAGATGGTCTGATGCGAGAGTTAGCATAGGTCGCCAGGTTATGCGATGGTAATATCCGGCGAGCTATTACAGGTGCCAATAATTCTGGTGAGGCTTTCGTCGATCATTGTGCATTGTGCCATTCCGCCAGCTCCATGCCCCTACGATCGTTTGACAGGCAGGTGTGTCAAAAATCGTGGTGCGCGCTAAGGTCGCCTAGCACCAAAGGATTTTCACCACGACATGGGCAACAGGTACAATAACTGGAGGGATGTATATATTAAATATCTCCAGCTCGACATTGCCTGACCGGATAGCTATACCCTGACATTCAAGGGTAGTATCCCTGTGGTCGATCTCAACAGTGGTCAAACTGGGAGTCAGGCTGCCTGTGTGAGCTCTTTAGGGCCGTTGAAGTCCTTTTTTGACTGCAGGTCCTTGATTTTAGATTGCACCTTCGTTGAGGCAGGTCTCTCAATAGTGCGTTGGCCACATGGGGCCATGTAACACGTGGTTCACTCCCTATGGGTCTTAAGGCAGGAGCGGGTCTTAAGGCATGAGCAGGTCTTAAGGTGGCTCCATCCATTGCATGTGTTGCCCCTAACCGAGGTGGAGTTTGGTTGGAGTCTTTTCGGGCAAATACAGCAGAAGAATTCCTCGGGGCCCCGGGTTGTACTCGATGCCAGCACGGATCAGGAGGATATGCAGCTGCTGCTAGGTGTTTCTCTAAGGACGACAAACTTAGACTAAAACTTACCCAACCAACGAGCTAGATCGCCGAAATAACAGTCCATGGACGGAAAAAATCCGGGTCAATTCTGGTTACGTAGAACTGGCTGTTGTGGGAATTGTTTCCATGTGGAAACCAGTATACATATTTTGTAGTCATTAAAAATTAACTTGAACAAATCTGAAATATTCTTAAACTTACTTAAAATCACAGTCGTATGCAATTATTTATAAATACGTCCACTATTTTTAAAAGTATGATTTTAGTTTTGATATTTTGCTTCATGAAACATTTTAGCTCTAAATTAAATGTATGCAAAATCTTCTACCGTATATAAATGGCAATGACAACATTTGTCAAATGATAACAACAGGGAACAACTGCTTTCTACGTTGTCACTATGGGCATAAGTTTTGGTAAATTTTGTTTAATATTGTGACGCACACGGATGATAGAACAAAATCGAATCAACGATAAATTGCCATAAGCTACTTGTTCGCGAATTCGTAGTTGCCAGAATGTTCTAGAAGCGATATTTTGTTAAAGATCTACTATATAAGCGCAGCCGGATTTTGCAGCAAACACAGTTCTAGTTAGAGTGATATCGTGTTAAGAGCAATTGAGACATAAGCAAGAAGTTGTAACCTCGAATAACAAGATATAAGTGTTAAGTTGCTGGAATTAGAAATGAAGATAAGTGTGTAGCCATTGAATTGGGACTTTTATTTAACAATCCAGTGATCGAACTCAAGGGTGAGTTATACTATATTCGCACCGACACAAAATTCGTGTTTTCATATACAAAAGAGGTTTTCACGCGAAAACTTGTGTTTTCATCCATACAAAATCTGTCAAACGAAAACACAGTTTTTGCTGAAATCGGTGACTGCTCTAGTTTAATCAATATTATTAGAAGACATATTTTGCCAGCCCTAAATGTCAGTTGACAATTTGTTTACATTCCATTATTGGCCGAAACGTACCCTACAAGAAATTGCTGATGGGTTCACCAATACACTCACATTTGATATGCCAGTACTGTTAATTTACATTTGCATTAATAAATTCAGAGCTATCCACTGATTGGAGAAAGACGTACGCAGAGCTATTGAGAGGAGAAGATGGCATCAAGTGAAAATTTATTTTAATATTTTCATATATTATTATATTTTTTGTTGCATTCCTTTTTATATTTAAGTATATTATTATAACTAATTTTGATTAAAAGTTTGAAATTTATTAAAGAAATAAAAATTATATTATCTACTACGCAAAAGAATTTTTCCCTTCTGATAGCGTTTCAGTCATAACTGACAATTTTCAGGTATGACGGATTTATGGTCAGCAATGACTCATAAAAAGACACGAGAGTGAGCAGTATAGATATATAGAGAATCAATTCCGAATACCCATGTGTTAAAGAGAGATACAAGGTCACACACATACGTTGGTTTACATCACTTTTTGCACAAGGCTCTTAAGAAAATGATAGAAACTTTGTTCTGCGCGCTGACAAAATTTTTACAGCAATGACTGTCATATTACCCATCAGATGACCGTCACTGTTCTTGTAAGGTACATAACAAATGTAAACAAATAGATGTGTGAACTGTCAATGAAAACTCATCGAAAACACACAATGTTGGTCTGAACGACTTTGGTTCCACAATCCACAAATTGTGTTTTCAAGAGGATTTCAATTCGGTGCGAACAAACTCCTCTCTGTGCTTTCTGAGATAGCTCATGAACTTGTAGTGCTGCCAAAAAACCTCGAGTTCATGAGCTAAAGAACAGATGACAAGCAAAAAAATTAACTTCATTTCTTATTTTTCATAAGAAAGTTTTATGCTGAAGCAGCAACAATGAAAGTGATATTGTTTTTAATAAAATATAAAATATTTGTATAAGTGTTTTTATATAAAATAAAATTTGGTAAGTATGTTATTAAAGCCGTAGCAAATACATGTATCTAAATATATTATGTTTACCTAACAAATTATAGGAAAATGCCAAAATGTTAACATCGGTGTGTGGCTGGGTGCGTAGGAGCGCGAGGTTTTTTCAATTTCCCTAACAAGGAGAAGAATGGATCCAAGTTCATAAATTTTTTTAATTAGTAGAAAAATATAATTATTTCGTTAAAATTATTGTGATTTTATTTTGTACCTTAATGGGTGATAAATGCCTACAAGGGAACCGAGCACCCAAAACAAACTTCGGAAACGTTTGTATACCTCAGCGGTGGCGTGGAAATTACAAACTCCCAAAAAAGTAGTAAAAATTCAGTTGCAACATTGACAAATGTTATTAAATATGTGGACTCTCACAGCGCTCTCTCGAATCAAAGAGTTTCCTATCATGTAATGCTTGTCACTAACTGTTGTCTAATACTATAATACTGTAACGGATTTCTCGATAAATCATCTAACTATAACTCACTCTTGAGCTCTAAAAAGTCCAAATTTAATGCTATACACTTATTTTGATTTTCAAGTCCAACAACTTAATATTTATTGCTCGCTATTTGAACTTACAACTTATAGCTTAATTGCTCTTTACACGGCAACACTCCAATTAGAACTGTGTCTGTTGCACAATCCGGCAGCCCTTATATAGTTAATTTTTAATAAAAGTTCGCTACTAGAACATTCTGGCAACTACGAATTCGCTGTCTAGTTGATTCTGGCAGTTTATCGTCAATTCTGATTTTGTTCTATCATCCGTGTTCGTCACACTGCCCTCCACCTAAGTCTGATCGTCCCGATTAGACATATTTGCGGTACCAAACGCTGCAAGCCATTCCAGATGAAATTTTAAAACAATCGGTAGTCGAAGATCATTACCAAAAATTACCCTTGCTGGAGTCTGCTCCGTTGTTTCATGTACAGCAAATCGATAAGCCATCAGGAACAAGGATATATGGGTATCCCAATCTTCCTGATACTTGTCCATAACTTTCCTCAAATGTTCTTCCAAAGTTCGATTGAATCGTTATACCATGCCATCGGACTGCGGATGTAGTGCAGTTGTACGGGGTTTCCGGATACAAAGCTTCTGGTATATCTCCTGTATTAGAGCTGATTCGAAATTTCTTCCTTGGTCAGAATGTAATTCTATTGGAACACCATATCTCGATACCCAATTGTTGATGAATACATCCGCTTTTGTTCCTACCACTTGGTTAGGAATTGCGTATACCTCCGGCCATTTGCTGAAATAGTCCATGACTACCAAAAACCTGTTTCCTAATTTACTGATAGGTATGGGACCAGCTACATCCATGGCTACTCGCTCAAACGGCGCACCTGAATTGTACTGATTCATCTGACCATGACTCCTGGACCGCGGCCCTTTAGCGGCAATGCACTCGACACAATTGGCGATCCACTCCGTAATTGATTGACGACAACCAACTCAATAAAATCTTTGTTTTAATTTCTCAAAGGTGTTAGTGATACACATGTGTCCTCCACTTGGACCGTTGTGCGGCTCGTTGAGAACTTCAGGAATTCTTACTTTTGGAACAATCATCAGAGCTCGTAAACTTTGCCAATCTTCGCTTTCCCATACGCGATGCAAGCAGCCAGACACTAACTTCAAACTATTCCATTGTGCCCAATAAGCCTTAGCGACTGGGCTTTCTGCAGCTATTTCTTCTCTCATTGGACGTTTATTCATCTTCAATCCGTGTATTATACTTCTCAAATCTGGATCCTCTTGCTGACATTTCCGTTGCTTCTCCGGATCCCAGTCTGATGATATAGTCATTAATCGGACATCTATAATGTCTTCTTTGGCCTCAGCTTTTGAGCAATGTCTGCATTCCAGATTACAGGGCCGGCGGAACATGGCATCAGCATTTCCATGACTACTACCTTTGCGATGTTCTATAGAGAAGTCGTAACTTTGGAGACGCTCAATCCACCGTGCCAACTGTCCTTCAGGGATCCTGAATTGTAGAAGCAATTTTAATGCTGCATGATCTGTCTTCATCCGAAATCGCTGGCCATAAAGGTACTTATGAAAATGTTTGATGCACTTCACCTACGCCAGTAATTCCATCCGAGTAACACAATAATTTCTCTCTGGCTTGCTTATGGTCTGGCTGTAATATGCAACCACTTTCTCATGCCCATCAATGACTTGTGATAGAACGCCTCCTACTGCAAATCCACTAGCATCCTTATCCAAAATAAACGTTGATCCTGGGACCGGGTATGCTAACATTGGCGCAGTACTTAACCGTTTCTTCAGAGTTTGGAAAGCCACTTCCTGTTCTTGATTCCATTCAAAAACTCTGTTCTTTTTCGTGAGTTCATGGAGGCTACTAGCTAC